TTTTTACTCCAATACCAATTCCAAATCCACAACCAACACCACAACCAACACCACAACCAACACCACAACCAACACCACAACAAATACCACAACCAACACTACACCCAATACCACAACCAACACAAAAACCAAAATCAAAACCACCCAAACCAAGACAAACTACAACTCCAACTACAACTCCAATACCAACACCCCAAACAACACATAAACAAAATAAATCCAATACCAAGACCAAAACCAACTCAAACTCCCTTTCAGTATTTTCCATATGCACCAACTCCAACTCCAAATCCAAATCCACAACCAACACCACAACCACAACCGCAACAAACACAAAATCCAAATCCAAGACCAAATCCAAGAACAACTCTTAATTCAACAGTTTGGTCTTACTTACCTACCCCAACTTCAACCTCAATACTATACCAACCCCAACACTAAATCCACAACCAACACCACAATCAAAAGTGTATAATATAAACAATACTTATTTTTATAAACTAAAACTCATTGTATATTTCAAGGGGCACAATCACCTTATATCAGATTCCACAAATGCATAACATTCATCCAATGACCCAGTATCAACAACCTTTATATATAGAATAGGTAAATATCTTTATTTTTAGTTAATATAAAATTATTTATTAATATTGTTTTTATTTAGATTTTTTAATTTAGTTATTTGTACCAACAAAAAACAAAAAGATATAGTAGGGTATCTTCTGCAGATTATTAATAATATAAGGTATTCAAATTTATTTAAACCAATTTAAAAAGAATTAATCAAGTCAACTCTTTCAGTGCCCGAGGTATTCTACAAATGTTGTAGACCCCTGATGTATTATATATAACACCCCGACAGCGGTTAAATAAAATTTTTTGCCAATCAAATCAACTATTTATGAATATCATTAAATTGCTCTGGCCAAGCAACTTTAATAGAAATAAAATAGTTTCAGGAAGAGAAGGTAAAAACTATTGAAGCAATCAAGGATTATAAAAAACTTCCCCTCCAGATCCAGGCACAATTGCAGTAGACCAATCAGTATTTTTATAAACAAAATAAATTAACTATAATATATTTTTAAAAAACAATTATAATATGGTGTTTCAAGTGGTAGTTCGATTCAAAATGTTTGTCCAATAATTCAAATGAAATCAGTAATCGGTCAAATAATGGTTCAAGTGGTGAAACCAACACCTGACATCATAATGCATAAATTGGTCCAAGTCTGATTTATCAGTCAAATGGTGGATCAAGAAGTGATTAAAATGGTTGTCAAATAGTGGTCCAGATAGTTCGTGTCCAAATTCAAATGTTGGTACAAGCAATGTTTCAAATAGTGGTTCAATAGTTGTAGAATAAGTGAATTAAATGTAGTAGTTCAAATGGTGGTACAGCTTGTACAAGCAATATTTTAAGTAATGGTTCAAATAGAGATTTAAGCAGTGAATTAAATGTAATTGGTTCGAGTGATTCATTTGGTATTGCAAGTGTAAAATATTATCTTCAATATAAGAATAAAATATCTTTTAATAATCCATTTATAAATTTTAAATAGAAATCTTCTTCAAATTCAAATACAATTAAGAGTATCTAATCAAAATATTAAAAATCATTCAATAAAGAATTATATAATTAAAAATTATTATAAATATAATTATTTATTTATATAAAAATTTAATTTATTTAAAACTACAAAACAAATTTATTTATTTCTTTTAAAAATCTGTTGATAAGGTTAATTGATGATTTTCTTAAATTTCTTTTTATCTATTTTCGAATGCTGCCTTAGCGATTTGGTATGAGTTCATGAACCTAAGTCTAATGATACCGGTAATTTGCTGCTGAAGTAAATTGATAAAGATTATATATTGCTTGAGCAACTTTAACTGGATGCCCTTTGGAGAGTGGCAAGAATTTTTTAATCATTTCAATGAGTTGTTTTGTGTTATATTCTTAAATTTTTGGCTCCTGTAAAATTACCACTTGCAAAACTTGTACTGAAACATTTAATGTCCAATTCTTTTTGCAATGATATGGTGATTGCATTCAATGCATCTTTAGTTGGTTCATATGCAGAATATTTACGGCCAAGGGTAGAGTATACAAGGTAAGATTATATGTTTAAATTTAAACCAGAAAGTTGTGCTTTGAGATATGGAATTGTGTCTTAATTCATAGTATACACCAAATAAATTGACTGCATAATCTTTTGAATATCTTCTGCTGATAACTCTTCAACATCCCCAAATAAATCATATCCACATCAATTCTACCATGTTCTTGAATGGTTTTATTTACACTTCTTTAATACTTTCGTTGGTAATATTATTTATTTATTTATTTTTTTTCTTTAAATTTTAAACATTTTTTTTATAGTCCCAAGACTGTGCTTAATGTTGATTATTTCATTTTATTAATATAAATCTAAAAATGGTGTTTTTTGGTAAATAAATTAATAAAAAAAATAAAAATTAAAATAAAAAAAAATAAAAAAATAAAAATTTTTTTTTAACCATTTTTTTAAAATTTTCATTAAATTAATAAGAGGATACATATGTCATTTTATTAATTAAAAAATTATAAATATATTTATTTTTAAAGATTATAAACTTATAAATAAAATGTAAAAGTAAAAGAAACAAATAACAAAGATTTATTTTGCGCAACAACATAAAAACTTAGCCATCAATTGGGTTCTTCACTACTAAGTATTATGCCGTTATCTTGACGATATCGGCTCCAGTAAAACTGTATTCATGACAAATGCAGCACCAGAAACATAGGAAATGGAAGAATCAATTCTAATAAAATGGCTGTAGCATCAACATCAATAAAAAAATGGGATAAACAACAAAAATTATATTACAATTATTTTATCTTCAAATAAAAACTCAAGATAATAGGAAAATATTAAGGGCCCTTATATTTATTTATAGTTTTCCTAAAACTTTAGATCATAATCAACTTGTCAATGAGCTTGATCAACAAATAAAAAAGCAATTACTAAAATTACAAAGCTCTTCATCAACATTAGCCTGTTTGACTGACATATCTCGCTTCTCATTATAGATTATTAATACCAGGTGAACAACTTACTTTGCCACAGGACGCTAAACTTAAGCATTCAAAGATTACATTGCTGTTCCAATTAAAAACTAGTAAAGTCATCACTGATCAAAAACCTTTTATCAGTCTATTTAAATAACTCAATTCACTTATGATTTAGATCATTGTTATCCGATTCAAATATAGAAATTGTATGAACTGAAACTTGAATACAACAAGAAAGGTTAACTCGGGTGTTTTTAAAATAAAGGTAAAGATTAAAAAGGATTTTTTGGATATCCAATCATAAAAAAATAAAAAATTATAAAATAAACAAATAAAGGTAATTAAAATTTGTAATAAATATTTAATCTTTATTTAATAAATATATTTAATAATAAATTGATAATTAATATAATCTATTGATAATTGTATTATAACTCTATATGAGAAAATGAACTCTGAATTGATAATCATTAAATTGTACTAAATATACTTTTTTTGATTGTTTTTTGTCAATTAAATTAACCTATTCTTTAATAAAAAAAATTGGTTAGTAATTCTGTTTTTATTTTCAAAATATTTTCTGTATAGGTTTATTATTTTTAAGATAATTTACTTACTTTTGATTATTATTAGTTGTATCTTCCATGGTTATTTAGTATTTATTTATATTTTTGGTGTGCGTTGTAAAATAGTGCGATTATACTGCTAGACTATGACTTTGAGTGATTGTTGACATGAAGGTGGTGAAGGGTGTATACTGTTGGAATATGATTTTGAGTGGATTGTGATATTGATTTGAGGTAAATGGGAATTTGATGTGAAGAATTCTTGTTGGATTGCAACCTTTCCTTCATTGTAGTTAAAAATACTTGTTTATTGCCGTTTTTATTACCATTCAGAGCTACTTTGATAGACCAAATGACATTTCTTTTAAATTTTCCAACATTCCATCACCGCTATTGACCAACTCTTTGATTTACAGAGTCTATTTCATGATATATAGGTTGGTCTTGGTTTCAACAGCTTTTTTTATAATCTCTTTCGAAATGAGTGGTGTGTTGTAGTCCAATGCAATCCAGTGTTCGTTGCCAAACTGTAAACAGTCGTTAAATATTTTTTATTTAATATACATTAGTTGACCAGCTTCAACAAATCCAATTCCAAACATGGTTCTCTCTTTCTCTTTTAAACATACAAAGATATCTGCACCTGGGGAATTCTTTAAGAATTCATTATCTTGATCCTTGTCGTTATATGGTTCTAAAAAACTTAATACAATTTCACCATTAGAATCTTTCTTTATATTGGCTCTGCTATTAAGTTAACTGATTTTTTATTTTAGTTATTCTCTGTACCATCTTTAATTAACACATTATTATTAGTACTTATTATTACTTTATCATAACAAACAGTTCTGAATATTTGAATCATTTTAAAATTTTTATTTATTTATGAATATATTAATTTTGAAAAATTATAAAATTTAAAAAAAATCAAAAAAAAAAAAATCATTTTCATAAAAATAAAAATAAACTTTTTACTAAAATAAATATTTGCATTATTCAGAAAATAACAATTTTTGTATTAATTTTGGTGTATATACAGAAAAAAATTATTATTTTTTATTTTTTTATTTTTTTATTTTTTTTTAAATTAATTTATAATCTGTTTCCATCAACGTCATAACTTGCATAACAGTCTTGGGCCCAATGTGATGTTCTTCCACAATTGAAACAGGAATTTTTTTCTTTGTAATCGCTTCTATGTACTTCTCTATGGATATTATCTTTAATAACTACTAAATTACTTGGTCTATTATCAACTTTGTTTTTATTAATATGGTGAACATGTTCGTTTGGTTCAATGGGTCTTCCAATTTTTTTTTCGGCTACAGTACGGTGGGTGTATTCCTATTATTATTTTTATCATATGAAGAAATATAATTAAAATTGAATAATGAAATATTAATTAATGAATAACTATATTACCCATCCTCCATCATTTGCTTGGTATTGACGATATCCACTTTTGTTATATCTAATATTAAGATTATTGTTATTTGACATTTTATGTTTAAAATGATTAATTTAATATCTATTAAAAAAATTTTTAAAAAATAAGAAATAAATTAAAAATTAAAAAAAAAAAAAAATAAAATAAAATAAAATAAAATTAAAATAAAAAAAAAAAAAGTAATTATTTCAAAAAAAAATTTATAAAAAGAATTTATCTTTATTTTTATTTGGGTTTGATTAATTAAAAAAATTTTAAATAAAAATAAATAAAGGCAGCAGATATTAAAATAATGAAATCTGGATTGTCATTTAGAAAACTATCAATTGAACGCACAACTCTATAATTGGACATAACTGATTTGCTAAGATTAGAACTTGTGTCAATTGAATAAGTTTTTGTAAGCTGCCCGATAGGAACCATTAAATCCTTTCTTCTAATGAACCATTAAATCTTTTCCTTATCTAAAACCATTCGATGATACCACAGTTGCTTGGCCAGAACAATGTCTGATATTCACCAAATAGTTGATTAGAATGAAAATATTCATTGGTGTTGATTTAATTGAAGGCCTTTTACTTTGATTGGATCTTTACCTTCATGGTTTTTGAACTGCGATAAATTCTTCTAAGTTTTTTTTTTTTTGATACTAAATCATTATTTTTCTATTTTATTTTATTACCTATTAAAATCTATATTATATCTACTAAGATATATTAAGGTTGAGGTTGAGGTTGAGGCTATTATGGAGGTTTATGTTGATACTCTGGTTGGTATCTGTTTTCGAAATCTAAAAAAATAGTTAGACAATACATTACTTCAGATATAATATTAAAATGAATACTATCTAATACTACTTTTTCTTTTAAAAATTTCATATTCCTCTATGAGCCTTTTGGTCTTATCAAAATCTGTTTCAAGCTTCCTATCTTCAAACAATTTTTCAAGACCATTATTTAATTTTAACAATTTTTTTTCATTATTTTTAATTAAACATTCAAAAAATAATCTATATAATTTAGCTAAAGAAAAGATTCTAAAATGATATTATAAATGTTAATATCTATAATAAAATAAAAATAAAGTTATATATAATTTAAAAATGAAAAACTTACATAATTGAAGAAAATAATGAATAGAAAAGAGACATTGCCTTATCAGACAAGGTGCCGGATGAAGCAAACTCTTCATATAAAAAAGTTGCTAAAAATAATTCTAAAATAAAAAAATAAATTGCTAATACTATTATAGTTACTATTACTAAACTGGTACTATTATTATTTAGATTACTAATACTATTATAGTTACTATTACTATTTTTTAAACTGAATGTTGTAGGTTCTGGTGCTGCTTTTGTTGTATTGTTATTACTATAACTATTTTTTAAACTGAATGCTAATGCTACTGTTGTTGTAAAATTATTACTTTTACTATTGTTTAAACTGAATGATGATGATGATGAAGCTGCTGTTGTGTTATTGATATTGATATTATAAGGTTCTATGATATTTACTCGATATTCTAATAGTCTAATGATTTAATCGATGATATTGAAAAACTTTTATTATTATTTGTGTAGTTTGGTAAAAATGTTGGTTCTATATTATCTAAAAAGTATGCGCATTCTACTAAATCAAACATGTATAGCTGTTAATCAACTAGTCCAAATGTTATTACCACTTACTTTTAATTTAATTTCTAATAAAACTTCATAATTTTCTTTTGACCATAAAGCCTATGATCTTATATGCTTAAATTTATTTCTATTAAAGCTGCGGTTGTGAATGTTGGGTATTGCAATTGGTCATGGCTTTTGATGAATAGTTTTTGCATACTGATGTTTGTTCTATCATTTTAATATAAGATAAATCTTATAAAAATAGTATTTGGTTATAAAAAAAATAAAAAAATGAAAAAAATGAATATAAAATTTAAATAAAAAAAAAAAAATTCAAAAAATTCAAAATTAATTTTTTATTTTTTTAATTTTTTTTTTTTTTAAAATCAAACTGCACCACCATAAACATTATTTTATTATAAACTAAATAAAAAAAATATAAACATAGTTTATGGTACCATAAATTTTTCAACACCAGTTCATCTCCAAACAAATGGTCATTCTGTATTAAGCACAACTAAATCACTCCATTTTTCGCAAAACCATACCAGAACCAACTTTTATATAAACTGCCAACTCACCGCAATTAACAAATCATTAAAGAATTGGGTAAATGATATAAGCTGCTTTCAGAGACAACTTAGAAAACAAAATGAACATACCAAGAAATACAAAGTAGGTGTTCAAATAATATCACAACACCAACAACAACAACCAGAAACAATACCACAAAAACAACAACAACAACCAGAACAAGACAATACTCATATAAAACGTAGTCAACTAAGACTATCTTAAAATTATCAAAATATTAAGAATAAGGTTTTTAATCAAGAAAGAAATGCAGCTTAAAATTCTCTTATCAAAAGTAGAAATTAAAATTCCTAAAGGTAATATTTAGAAATCTTGGTGATTCCCCTTTTAAATGAGGTAACCAACTAGGTAAAATTCTTATCAATCAAAAATTTCAATTTACTCAATTTGTGCCTAATCTGGCACATTTTAATTGTTAATATAAAAAGTTCGGATGGTGTAGTTGGTTATCACGAATCCTTAACACGGATTAGGTCGTGGGTTCGATTCCCGCTCTGAATATTTTTTTAATTTCTATTTATTAAATCTTCCCGGTGATAGAAACAAATAAAATATGTAATGTATTATCATCAAAATTCAATATCACCACAAGATGAGGGGGAGCAATGATAGCCAAGTGGTCGAACGAATTTCCTACAAGTTACCGCTCCGGGTTCGAAACCTAGTCTCAGCAGATTTTCCGAATCACACACGAATTGACGTTACCGTGCCCAACCTTGTATGCAGTGTGGTAAAACTCATATAAGCATTAAACACATACCAAACACAATAAACTGATGACTTAATATATCATTAAGAATCATCTTCACTTTTAAAAAAAAAAAAAAAAAAAAAAAAAAAAAAAAAAAAAAAAAAAAAAAAAAAAAAAAAAAAAAATTCAATAACAAACCCACAAGATCAATATAGTTTTTTGTTTGTTTGTTTGTTTGTTTCGTCATTAGATAAATAAATACCAGCAAACCCCTAAGATCATCCAGGGTTAACGCACTAAACAACATCTTTACAAGATTAGCTTCACCAACTTCCAAAAATAAAACCGCCATAACAAATAAGAATACAACCGCAAAAAGTAACCGTACTCGAAATGTTAGCCAAATATCCACACAAATCAAAAACACTCCGTACCAATTAGGCAGTCCGAAATCACCTGCTATTGAACAAAAATCTAAGAAAAAAAAAACTTCTTAAACTAGATAGGTTGTTTCAACCTTACCCCAACACCCACTTCTTCTTATATTTTAATATAAATAAACACCGTCGCTTACACTAATAATATTTATTATATTATTAAGTAAGGTTTTTTTAAAAAAAAAAAAAAAAAAAAAAAAAATCAAATATCAACCAAAATGATTAGCAGCTTCAAAATAAATTTAACTAAATTTAAAAAATAAACAATAAATAATAAAATGATCAAGTAAAATAATTATATTTGTTTTTAAACTTTATTATAAATACTTAACTACACCTCGAGCCACGTTTTTTTCATTTATATGCAAAAAAAATAAAAAATTAAATAGAAATAATAAAAAAGTGGTTGGAGGTGTAATTTATTCAATTAGAATTAAACTAAATAAAGATTAAAATTTATATTTAAATAATTAATTTACCCTATTTTTAAAATCTTTTTTTTTCAATGTAATAGCTTACCTAGGTAATATGGATATCAATCGAGAGAGAATTTTATGAAATTTTTAAATCAAACATTTAGATTTAATTAATATTTTAAATCCAAATTTTAAATAAAAAAATAAGGTAGAAACTATTATTTTATCATAATTATAAAGAAAATAAACAATTGTTTTTTTATTTTATTTTTTTTTTTTTAATTGTTTATAATTTTTTAATTTTTTAAAAAAGAGTCTTTAAAAAAAATTTTTTTTTTTTTTAATTAAAAATTATAGCTTTACAACACACACATAATTTTTCATTCATCAACATTTTTTTTTTTTTATAATAGCATTCAAATATTCGTTCATTTTTACACCTTTTTTTTGTAAATAATATTTATCTTTTTTTTGTAAATATTTTTTTGTATATTTTTATATTATTTTTTTTTTGTACATTTTATTTGTAAATAATTTTTTTTTGCAAACAAAATGTATGAATTTTTAAACTTGTGTGTTTATTTATTTTTTGTTGGTACCATCTGTTGGAAGTTACCATCTTTTATTGGCAAATTCAGATTCAATAACACCAAAAGAAACAACAAAGAAAAAGATGACTGCCAATGTTGGAACAGTGAAGTCAATTACTGGGAAAGTCAGGTGATCCAACAAATTCAACTACAAGAACCACAAGAACACCTCCAACACCTCCAAAGCCTCCAAAAACCCCAACTACTCCATCTTTACCAAGAACAAGAACACCTCCAACAACCTCAACAAAAACAAAAAAACCAAGAACAAGAACACCAAAAACTCCAACCAAAAGAACCAAAAAAACCACAGCAATCACAACCACAGCAATCACAACAACCAATTCCACAAGGACCAATCCCATTCATCCAGCTAATTCGTCAACAACCCCAACATCAACAACCACAACAATCCCAACAACCAATCCCATTCATTCAACGAATTAGCCAGCAACCCCAACCCCAACAACCAAAACACCTACAACAATCCCAACAACCAATTCCACAAGGACCAATCCCATTTATCCAGCTAATTCGTCAGGAACCCCAACATCAACAACCACAACAACCACAACAACCAATCCCATTTATCCAACGAATTAGTCAGCAATCCCAACCCCAACAACCACAGCAATCACAACAACCAAAACAATCACAGCAACCAATTTCAAAGCAACCAATGCCACAACAACCAATTCCACAACAACCAATCCCATTTATTCAACGAATTCGTCAACTACCCCAACCACAACAACCACAACAATCACAACAGCCAATCCCATTCATCGAACGAATTCGTCAGCAACTCCAACAACAACAAACTCATTCACAACCAACACAACAACTCCAAAACCAAAATGCTCCAATAAATCCAAATGAAATTGATTTATCTTTGGTCAATTCAAATGGAAGATTAAGTTTAGATCCAACTCCATTGAATGAAACAGAAAAGGCATATATACGTTTAAATGAACGTATCGAACTATATCAACTAATGCCAAAAAAGGAAATCCCAGGTGATGGTAATTGCCAAATGCATGCGCTATCAGACCAAATATTTGGTGACTTGGAGCATAGTGTAATAATAAGAAATAACATTGTCGATTGGCTTAGAAAAAATAAAGGATTTTACCTTCCAAATGGAGAAACCCTCTCAGACTTTGTAACTACAAACAGTTGGGAGGAATATTGTGATAGTATGTCCAAAAATGGCACATGGGGCGATCATTTAACATTGGTCGCTGCAGCTGAAATTTATAAAATAAATATTTCTATAGTATCTTCAGTTGAATCACAGAGTAGTTCTTTCATAGAAATTACTCCAAGTATTAAATGCGAGAATGGAATTTTGTTATCACATTTTGCAGAATTCCATTACGGTTCTTTATGCCCATTAGCCAATTAAACCATTATATCGGTAAGTTATTTTATATTCCCACTATTTTTATTTATAAACCATTTTATATTAATTCATTTTATTTAATACATTATATTTTAGCAATTTTTAAAGCCATAATCAAGTAATATACAAAGATTCTAATCCGTCTCTAGCCATGTTGTACATGTAGTATCATTTACAGTAAAAATCTTATTGAATATAAAAGTAGGGATTCATTTTTTGTTTTTTTAATAATTTATAATAATAACTATTCACTATAATCCATAAATTGTGTCAATTATCACCGGCACCAAGTAGCAATGTAGAATCTGGATCATGTATTTCTGTAAAATCTACTGTGAATCATTTGTTTCATCAAGTAGTGTAGAGTCAGGATCAAATTGTAGTGTGGAATCTGCTACATCAAGTAATAGTGCAGAATTTGTTGCACCAGTTACAGCTCCTTAGAATATGTTTCATCTAGTGATGTTTCATCTTAGCCAACTGGTGGTGACTATGCAGCTCAAAGGGTCTAGCTGTTCGGGAATATATTTGTATAAAAATATAAGAAAAAGGTGTAACCATCCATAACTTTTTGAAAGTGCTGAAGAGTCTTGGTATTATTATAAAGTTGTTATTCTTTTTGATAGTGATTGGTATCCCCAAATGTATTTTTAACTCAAGATTGTGGTAAATTTCTAACCAACCAAGTAACCAATGAAGCTCATCCAACCAGTCAAGTAACTAATGATAGACTTCATCTATCTACTCAACTATTTTATTAATATCATTAATTGCTCTGGCCAAGCAACTATGACCATAGAAATCAAATAGTTTAAGGAGAAGAGAAACTGAAGCTTCCGTGTAACTATTAATCAAGCTAGGGGAACAGTCACAATGGTGTTATTTATTCAAATATATAAAAATACTCTGCAAAGGAATTATAATAGTATCTGAAAGAGGTAGTCCAATTACATCGTTTTCTGTTAATTATTTAAAATATTCAACCCTAACCCCCACATAAATTAATCATACTAAAACCTTAAAATAATAAAATCAAAAATCAAACAGATAAAAGCCTATAATAAAAAAACATTTTATTTTTTTTTTTTTTAAATTTTTTTTATAAAATTTATTTTTTTTATTTTTTTTATTTTTTTTATTTTAATTTATCTAAAAAAAATTTAAAAAATAATAAGATAAAAATGGGAGTTGATAAATATTATTATATAAAATAAAAATTATAATACCCGCTCAAACCCGATCTAAAAAAAGTTAAATAAAAATAAAAATATAATTATTTTTGATTGGATAAAATTTTTTTTTAAAAAATTCAAGTTTTTTTAACCCCTTTTTTAAAAAAAAAATTTTAAAAAAACAAATATTTAGGATTTAACTTTGCCAAAGATATCATAACTTAATATTAGTTAAGTAATATAAAGGTTTTTAAAGTTATTGATTTATGTTTTTTAAATTTTTTATTTTTTTTTGAAACTATTTAAATAAACATTTTTTTTTTTTTTTTTATATTATCTTTTTTAAAAATGAAAAAATTATATTTCTTTATATTATTTATTAATATATTTTATTTCTCAATTATTGTAAATTCTCAAAAATGTAATAAAATAACTTTAATTAATATATTTTTTTTTTTTCCAAACATTAATTTTTTTTTTTAATTTTTAGTTAACCTAAGTTTAAAAGGACAAATTTATGACCAAGATCCCTCATTTAATCCTAATTTTGAATCTAGAGAAGGGGTTTTAACAAAAGGACTTGTTAAAGAAAATTTAAATCCACTCACCAAAATCCCAGAGTTATTATTTTTATCAGCAACACACCAAAATAACATTAAAGGGGGGATTGTGAAACCAGATTTGTTTAAATTTTTTTTTAGCACAAACCATGACCCAAACTCACCAGGGTATAATATTGCAAAATCAATTATATTGAATTTAACTTATGATAAACAAAAAGATGTCTATGTAATTGACAATCAATCTTTCTTTCCACGTAGGTATTTTATTTTTTTATCTTTATAAAAATAAAAACTGTTTATTAAAAATTTTCTTATAAGTTGATAATAGAGGTTTAGATGCAAATAAAACAGATTACAAATACTTTGCCCCCAATAACATTTATCATAACTATCATTTTTGTTTAAAGATAAACAATCAATTTGCATATCAAGGTTTTGAAGAATTTACATTTGAAGGTGGAGATGATTTTTATCTTTTTATCAATAATAAATTAGTTATTGATTTAGGAGGTATCCATACATCACAAAAAGCAACAGTTTATTTAAATGTTTTGAATTTAATTAAATATAAGGTATATCCTATAGATCTCTATTTTTGCCAAAGACATACAACTCGATCAACTATTAGAATAGAAACAAATATAGAAATGTTTTGTGCATTTTATGACTTTTGTGGAGTTTGTAATGGTGATGGTTCTACTTGCTGTAATCCTAATATAGATTGTAACGATAATAATCCATGTACAATTGATTTATGCCCACCCCCAATGGGAACAGATTGTATACACACCGCTAAACCAATTCCAAAGAGTGATTTTTGCTCTATATATCGATGTAATCGTTCCAATGGTAATATAGAAAAGATTCCCTTGAATATCGATGATAATAACCCATGTACAATAGACAGTTGTGACCCTTTTATCGGTATAACTCATAAATCACTATGCACTGGTTGTTCGGTTTGCAATAATAAATCAGGTCAATGTGAACCATTAGATGACGTTTGTAGTGGTGGAAATCTATGTACTATCAATAAATGTGTTTTAATTAACAATTCATCAGGAATATGCATAGAGGAAGATAAATGTAAAAAGAATAATACCGACCCATTTACTACTAC